GTAGTAGTAGTTGTTGTTGTTGTAGTAGTAGTAGTAGTAGTGGTGGAAGTAGTGGTAGTAGTAGTAGTAGCAGCAGCAGCAGCAGCAGGAGTAGTAGTAGTAGTAGTACTACTACTACTACTACTAATAATAATAATCATAATACTAGATTACTGCCAGTACCACTACCACTACCGCCACGACCACGACCACGACTTTTAACGCTACCATTGCCACTTTCGCTACTGCTCCTGCTGGCACCACCGCCGCCACCACCACCACCACCACCACCACCCGAGCCCGGTTCTAGGACCTCAAATCCAAACCACTCCAACACCGCTACCACGTTCACCATCTCCGCTTCGGGCTTATGAAGCATCTCCTGGTTGCATTTGCGAACAGCCGTAACTCCAGTGAAAAAGTTACGGCAACGCTGACGCTCAATTAGCATGGCCATCTACCCAGGAGCAGAGAAAGCACGGCACGGAGTTTCCAGGGTTGCGGCCGTTGCGTGTTCGAGCTTTCAGCAGCCAAGGGCAGGCAGGCTCTCGGACACCAGGTGAAGGAGTCAAGAGGTTTCGGTTTCGGGGTTGAGTCCAGGACTCCGGATATTGGCTTCGAGCTGGTTTTCTGGAGAAGATTCCTCCGATCTTCCTGGCCACTTCCGAAAAATAACAAACAGTTCAAAGCTCGCTTTCAGATCTCAGTCCCCGCTCTGGCTCCGTTAGTTGCGAGGGGCTCCATATCTAGTAAAGCTATGTCCATCCATGATTTCATGTGCTGTGGTATGAGCCAAAAGGCTTCAGGCCAAACTTCTTCAGCAATCCACACAACTTGCACTGCGCCCTACATCAGGAGCTCAACAACTGCTGCGTGAACACTTGACTTGGTCAGACCTCACACACGAAAACAAGGGTGGCGCACATGTGCTGCACGCTGCGCAGCACCAGGACGTGGTAGAAGGAGATTGGGCCATGTCCTGCGATTCGACAACATTTAGCGTGCATGCACCACACATGCCATTTTCTAAGACGGTGACTGAGCTGCTGGGACATATGTTCTTGTTGCTACCGTCGTCCGCGGTCCTTCCTGGTTGGGCTCCATATCCGGCTCCATGGAGGAGACGAACTTAGAAACAGCTGCCATGAAGCGAGTTTCAGGGTTCGGGGTTCAGGATTGGATTGAGGGCTTGTAGTTTAGGGCCTTGAGCGTCAACCTTTCCTACACTGCCTTGATGTCCTGACTCCTGGATGCACCACCTTGAAAGTTGAAAAGCGCTTGCGCCAGGCTTCCGGCAGGAAGGGACAGATACGGATGAGGCGGCCAAAGGTGATATTTGGCCTCGACTCCCCATGTCACTGGAGACTCTATGCTGGACAGTACGAACCTCAAGTTCCCTGAACCCTGAACCCAAAAGAAACCCTAAAACCCTATAAAACCCTAGACCCTAAACCAAAAAAAAAAAAGAGCCATAACCGTTCTCTGGGCTATCCGGAGCTCAGGCCGAGCTCCGCTTGGAAAGTGCGTGGTCTCAAGCCGCCTGCTTATTCTGCTCCTTCATGCCTTCCTCGCCCCCGCGCTCTGCCATGTCGGGGGCAATGTCCTGCAGCTTCGAGCTTGAATGGTGTAGGGTTTAGGGTTTGGGGTTTTGGGGTTTAGGGTTTAGGGAGTTGAAAGTCGACGAGCGCCGACAAGAATCATCGCCCAAAGGGATGCATCACCAATGCCAGGCGTATTACTAAGAAGACGGGCAATACACATTGCACTCATCCCGCCAACGAGAGCACCGACTAAAAACTCAACTTTCATAGCGACTGCATAATACACGATCAATAGACGCCGCAGGTTGCGACTATAGAAACCATCATAGCTCACAAAGAGAATCTAGCTGGGATCTTCCTGGAATACTAAACCCTGAACCCTAATTTACTCAACTCTAAACCCTAAACCCTGAGAGACTACATACAGCAACACAAAGCAGATCCCTCGACTCTGCTCACGGCCCCCTCGGGGCTGTCCGGGTGGTAGGCCGACAGGACGCCCTGAGACCTCGGTGCCCCGGGAGTTGCGTGTTCATCTTCTTTATTATTATTATTATTACTACTATTATTATTATTACTACTATTATTATTACTATTATTATTATTAATATTACTATTAATAGTATTATTATTGTTGTTGTAGGACATTGTAGGGCTTCGAATCTCTGATCGAGCCCTCTCCTACTTCCGTCCTTTAGCGGCCGGAGAGCTCATGGAAACTACGCATGTCTTTCAAACGTCCATGAAGCCGAGCACGATTACCCAGTGCTAGAAACGCCCTTCAGGGATGTCGTCACGGCACAAGTCGATGTGACTGCAGTATACTGCTTTGAACCACCTGACCAATCTAGACTTGCATCAATCGACTCGCCCCGTCTATCTAAATTGCAGCAGTTCAGTCTTGTGGCGCTACCCTCCAGCGCTCCTTTCCGTTTGCACCAAGTGGCCCTTGCCTGACTCTGAAAATCGTCTCAACACTCGAAGCTCCTGAGCGTCGTACACGAAGAAGTCCGAGATCACTGAATTCTCCGAGAGGGCACCCATGTACACGGCCTGCCGTCCACATGCACGGATTGCGGCATCAGTTCTGGCACGGGATGGTAACAGAATGATGTAGAGCTGCGCGCTGCCGCCGCCACGGCGCCGGAGATGGTGAGGACGACGACTACGGCGACTGCTACCACGAGTCAAACCACCAAGCGATCATCGTCTTCGTCATCATAATCAGCATCCTCACCGCTAGCATCATCATCTTCAACACGACAGCTGTTGCCATAATATGCGTCAGCATCAGAAACAGCGTCAGCATCACCGTCACCATCGCCACCAGCATCATGATCGTCATGGCAATGATAACAATCAGCATCATTACCACCAGCATCATCATCTTCTACTTGATATAATTATTCTTCATCTACATCTTCTTCATCATGATCATCATCACCGTCAACACCATTAATCCTATCACCAGGTCCCCACGGACCTGCTGCACCCGCTGCTGGTCCTCCGCCACTGACTGCAGGACTGCACTGGCAGCAGGGCTTCGGGTTGTCATTTTCGGCTTTGGGTCTTTGCTGCACAACGTTGTGAGTCTAGGACTTCAGAAGCTTAGGCATTTGTTGGCACGGGCTTGGGGCTTTACGGGTTCAGGGTTGGGGACTTCGGGTATTACGGGCTGAGGGGGTTTTTGAAGGCTCAACTGTACAGCTTTGGAGGTGTTGAGGGGTTTTGTAGGAGTTTGGGGGGGTTTGGGGTTTTAGAGTGTAACGGTTAAACGTTCAGGCATTGCGTTCAGCATTACCTCCTAACGGGCTTAGGAGTTTGCTGTTGTTTAAAGTACTTGGCACCAGATCCTAGCAACAGATGTCCCACGCTTCAAGGGGGACGCAGCAGCGTGATGACGACGACGCTGATGATGGGGATCGTGATTCTCATAATACTAACGATCATGATCCATGTTGTGCTTATGATAGCGGCCGTCACTGTGGTGGTGGTGGTGGTGGTGG